ATTTGGAACACTCATCACTTCTAAATTCCATGGATTTTGACAGCATGGAAGCGTAAATATCCTCTGATTCATCCTTTATAGCTTTGTTTGGAATTGTAATGTGTTGTAATTTATTGGGGATAGCAAGAGACCAAAGAAAGACAGATAAAGGTATCCCATACTTAAGAGAATCCCTTTACTTATTATTCTCTACCATTTGCAAAGTATAGTGTTTAAAGCTTATTGCTGCGATCCCGCTCTATGAAGAACTGGCAGCTACAACCTGACCTGAAAAAAAATCATTGTCCCTTTCTCTCAGCCTTCAAGGAAATCCATCAGATAGAGCATCTGGCATAAAAGGCCTTGGAAGAGAGAGAAAACTGGCAGAACAAATGGACTGACCATTCCCTTCACAGTTGCTGTAGCATTAAGTTAATATTTTTATTTTCCCACCTTGGACTGAATCTTCCATCTTCAGCCTAAATGTAAGTAAATTAATAGAACTTCCAAGTGTTGAAACTGACTACTGCTGACAAAATACAGAACCTAAGCAGACCCTATGAAGGTGCAAAAAGTGAGGTGTGTAGTGCCATTATTAGCCTTGTATATGGAAAGAGACACTGGCACATGCAGGAATATCACCATTCATATAAACAGCATATTTTCTGTATTGCCAGTTTATTAAGAAGTACTTCAAATGAAAGAGCATTAGAAAAGAACATCCAGTCTTCCAATTATACAGATCCTTCTCTTCAGGACATTGAAAAATGCCATATGCAAGTGCCCAGGTCCATGAAAACCTCAACTTGCAGTCCCTGGAATTCAGGGAAGAGTTACAGGTGAGATTGCAGAGTGCTGGGCCTTGCTGGGCCTGCACACAGGCAGAGGTTGAGTGCTGGAACAGCAAGGGTGACACTACTGCACTGACGTAGGGGAGTAAAGGCCACTAACCATACATGCACTTTAGAGTCAGGTCAAACCCTTCAGAATTGAAAACACAGTGCCAACATTAACAAAAAAAAAAATATTAAAAATAATCAGAAATCCTGCTGTAGGAGAACTGAGGCAACCTGTGAAAGGTGGCTAAGAAGGATGAGTGGGTAAAAGAGCCAGAGTGGGATTTAAGGATGGAGATGTATAAGGACCAGAGGGTGTTCCTCCTTACACCACCATCACCTGCAAAATCAAAACCAAACATGGAGGAATTCTGCCAGTCTTGTGCTAATGCAAATTAAGCAAAACTACAGCTGCTTCATTAATATCACAGATGAAAGAAGGTGACAAACTGCCCTTTCCAAAACCTACACAACCTACAAGCTCATGCTCTCTCACACAAAGCCACCATCATCAACCCAAAAAAAACTCTGCTATAAAATATTACCATGCACTAAAAAATCATTATTTGGTCCCTTAAGTAGCCCCTGAAGTAGAAGGCTGTGGTGAAAATTTATCAGGCATTTTCCTCCAAATGGAATATCCACTCCAGTACCCTAAGAGGTCTATAGTACATGAAATTTTAACGGAATTGTTAATGTCTTTCTAGGGTTTGTAATACCACAAAGAGATACACATCATGTGCATTCACCACAGCAGATAAATGCTAATGTCTGTAGCACACAACATTTGCAGAGTGGTTTTAAACACGAGTCATCTTCTACTCACTCTCTTGGTGGGAAAATTAATGACATCAATAAACTTTGTAGTATCTCCAGAAAAGACTCTTTACCTTCACAAACCTGATCAGTACATTCACAGTGTACAGAAGGGACCACAATTATGTGGATTCCCTGAAAGGTTAGTCTGCTCTGAGAAACACAAAATGTCGAAGGCCTGGGAATTTTCAGAGGTGAACTCATGCCTTGATGCGGGAAAGGTTTGTGGAAGATCCTAAAGGTCAGATGTGAGGGTCTCCCTTATCAACAAGGGCATATGTTAAGTTAAACTGAAACCCAGAGGAGACTCTCTGGAACCACAAGCAATACTCTGATTACAGTAAATATATTGTCAAAGGGCAAGAAGTTTGAAAAGTGATGTTTAAAGATGTATTTATCAGAATAAAGAAGCATGTACATGCAAGAAGTTATTCCCAGATAATTTCCATAAGTATTTCCCATAGCTTTTCTGCTTATTTGAAATTGGTACACTCTGTATTTAATTTTGTTACTGTAACAAAACTTTGCTCATTTTTTTCTTGTGAAATTTTGGGTTGATTAGACAGAAATGATGATACAGAACCTGTTCATCTTTTAGGAGAGTTACATGAGAAAAATACCGTTATCTCTCTTTACAAGGGGAACGAGCAGGCAATGAAATACATCCTTGTAGCTGAGCTAAACAAACCTTGAGCAGACAGACACAGCCTTAGACAAGCTTGAGAACAGAAAAGGAAATTCCACTAGAATTACTTCAGACCTGTCAGGTTTTTGGTTTTGTTTTCATTTTAGGAGGAGGTTTTGAGCATGTACAATCGCCTTTCAACCTCCTCCTACCTAGGTTATCTGACAAGTTCGAGTTCCTTAATCTGCAAGTCAGCTAAGTCCACTGCTTCGAATTCTTTCCTGTCAGCTGTAGCAGGCTCTGATGTGTCTCCTGGAATCACACACTGTCCATATGAGGTACTTAAACAAATTCCCTTCCTTTTGTTCTGCAGTTAACAGCAGCTGAGGCCATTTACTTACAGGGCAGCACCCTGAGGCAGTGTTATAAATACAGCTCGAGTTGAGTTTGGGATCCTGTAGCATTTGGGGGCTCCTGGCAGGAGGTCTGTGCAGTGATGGGGCCTCTCAACCAATGCTGACACCTTAGGGAGTGGTAGGAAAGTGTGTTGCACTAACCAAGACAATTCCAGCTGCAGTTTGATCAGTGCTGAGTATCACTTTCCTGGTAGGTGGATCTACACTGTCCTGATTCATTTAACTTAAGGAAAGGAAAGCTGAGCTGATGAAGAGTGCTCTTCCCAAGCCAAACAACACTGAACACTCCCTAAAACAAGCAAATCCCCCCAAATTTTCATTGGAACAATGCTACTATTTCCATTTCCCATGTCCAGGAACACTGGTAAGGTGATATGGGGTGGCAGCCAGCAAAGTACTTCCACAGCACAACACAGACCTCAGCACTGCGAAGCAGCTTCTGGGCAGGGAGTGAGGTGCTTTGTTTTGGTGTCTTCTTGTCTCTCTGAAGCTACAACCTTCCAAGAGACTCCAACAGGTGCAGTGCAGGAGATAAACTCACAGGAATGAAGCAGCTGCTATCTGGTTTCCACATGAGTACAGAGAGCTCCTCACACCCTCTGCTGCTTTTTTGTGATTTTATCAGACAGCTAAATATAATGAATGCAACACCTTCCTTTTTAAGAAAGGCAAGGTTAGACAAATGGTCAGGGCAATAAGGATATATTCTCCCCAGGGCCAGGTCACAGCATTATTATGCAAAGCAGAAATTTTCTTCTGCTTTGGATACACCTGAGGTAATCAGCCCCAGAATCTGAACACCGAAGGATTTCTCAAGGTGAGCACAAGACTCTGCTCTGCAGAAGCCTCAGGTTCTGCCCTATGCTTTGGTGCAGTTCTGGAGGTCAGATTCTGCCTCTCAAATTCCAGCCAAGCCTCACTCAGGGATTCTATGGTTCATGTCCTGAAAATCAACACAATTTTCCAGGGAACTGGACACTTTCACCATTAACTCACACAAACATTTATGTCATGAAAGAAACACCTATCAACAGAAGTTAATTCACACTGAGTTACTTTGTAAACATTATGTTTTAACAAAAATGGAAGCCTGATATTGGAAATTAATGATATTTGCCTGGCTGAATGTTAAACCATATATAAATTAGTGCTATGAGGCTTCCATCACAGCAAAAGGCCCGTTTTATTAATGGTTCCTTTACCATTTAGAACATGTATGTTGTTACTTAAAATGGCAAATTGCTTTGCACTGTCCTTGAAGTGCATTGCATAAATATTGTATTAAAGCCTTAGCTTACACTTCATAAATAATTTATCTTTAAAATCCTCTTCCCTGAGACCACCAGCTGGCAAGATGCTCGATTTTCTGCTAAAAACATGTATTTATTGCAAGTCTTATTTTAACTTGTTGATGATTTGCTAAAAGCCACATGTGATGGCTGTTGTAAGAACTGTGTCCAAACCCAAACCTCAGGAAGCTAAAAGCCTCATACTCCTCATAGGTTTTATACCTCTGCATAAGCAGTTTCAGTTGCAGGGGGAAAGCTGAAATCTATTCAAGGAAGCTTTCAAGCACAATTTTCTGATAACCTGAAAATGACTTATAGCTTATTATGCAATGATCAGAAAAGTGTATAGAATTCGTGACATTTCATTTCACTGCAGTCCTTCCTCCACCATTTCCAGTTCATGTTGCTGCATTTAAACTGCTGTACAAACTTGTTCAAAGTGCAAGACATTAAAAAAAAATCAAAGGAAATTTCAGATAATTAACTTTGATGAATGAGCATATTTTAATTCATGTCTGGTAATATTCCTGTTAATGACATGTCTGCTTAGGACATCCATTAAAAGTCCATTAACTTAACAGGGAAAGTCTAATAAAGTTATCCTGGAAATTTTCTGGTATATTAACGTTATGGACTTTTAATGAATATCTGCTGTAGGAATTGCTATTAGCAAGGCTTCTATTCTAATTAAACTTGGGCTCTGAGAGTTAAAAAAAACCACTATAACAACAAGCAGAAGTTGTACTTTCTTTGAAAATTACTATAAGGGAGATTGGTACAGGTCACAAATCATGTTATCAGTAACAGCTATAAATGACTATACTGTAGCCTTTTTTTGCAGCCTGCCATCCAATGTATCCATACTGAGTCCTTCATGTAATCAATTGCTGGGGCTGCTCTTTACTTCTCTGCTGTTGAGACTGAGCAATACAGAAAGGCTGGAGGGCACCTTCCACTGCACCAGGTTGCTCAAAGTCCTATCCATATGTATATAACTTTTTATTGCTATTACTATATATAAAATAACATCCTGATATACCTATTTTTTCATACTTATCCTTCACCAAATCTTCCAAACCAATCATTTTCCAGAAAGTGTCATCCCAACCTCTATCTGATGTGTATGTCCACTTGCACACTACTGTACAGAGGGACCTAGAAAAGAGACAACACAAGCATGGAATCAAGCAAATTAACACATTTTGGTTTACATTTGTGACTAGGAACAATTTCTGCCAAAGGATCTCTTCTTCACTGGTCAAAAACTCCAAGTATAATGGTAACGTTAAAAAAAAATGGTTCCTGTTTGCAGTGCATGTCTCGAGGACCTTAAAAGGACCTTGTGTTTAAGATTCTTCTCTGCTGAAACAACTCCTGCTCTGGCCACCTCATTGCATAAATCAGTCAAATAACAGGCCATGCATATGCCTAGAGAACAGCATAGCTGGAACATAACAGCTCTTTAGCAGGCAGCTCAGATTGCTGCTTTTCCAGGCCAAAGAGCTGTGGTGCACAGAGTGTGGCCTTAGAAAAACTTTCTATTACTTATTTTCAAACCAAATGCCAATTTACAGGAGATCATGTGTGAACTGGTCATCAGGTTAAGTGTTCAAGTCTCAGTGGTGATAGGATGATGCTGAACTTCACCGTGACAGGACAGCACCACAGGGCAGACAGCAGAAGCAGAACATACACAAAAGACAGGAACACTTGCAGAAATGTCTGTCATAACAATTGTTATGGTTTTCTCCCAAAGTGATCAATATCCCCAACCATTCATTTCCCCTCGAAAATAAGAACAGCGTTCCTGAAGATTTAGTACTACACAGGCTGTTTTCTGTCTGATCACTAAGAATCATCTCAGAAGATCAGTATTTAACTGTGCTTGAAAAGTCAATAAACTAAATGGTATTAGAAACGCTAAATACCACTGAAAATTGCATTGTGTGTAGTCCTGGGAACACCACTGTGTCATCAAGTGCACAACATCTCAGGGAAACAACATCCTAACTGTTCTCCAAGAGAAACCCTATTCAGGGATGGATTTTCTTTGATGTTTTACAAGACAGCTTATTTGTGACTCACTTTCAGTCAAGGTGTGCTTTCATTGACATATTCTCCTTATTAGGATATTACAATTTGAAGGATCTTCAAAGCAAACTCAATTTTACTGAAACATTTGACATTTTCTTGCAATTTTGTGTAAGTGGAATCCAAATAAAGTTCCCCTCTACAAAAACTATGTTTTGAGAAAAAGGAAACCTTCCCTTTCATCCAAGTGAACTACCTAGGGACCAAAATATGAATCACAGAATGGTTTGGGTTGGAAGGGACCTTAAAGATCATCTCATTCCACCCCCCTGCAATGGGCAGGGACGCCTTCCACCAGCCCAGGCTGCTCAGAGCCACATCCAACATGGCCTTGGACAGAAAAAGAGAAGCTATTTTATTTACTATCTACAAAATATGCTAAGCCTTCTAGACACACACAGTAAATCCAACGGAACAGGAAGAGCCTTTCCACACAGCTAGAGAATTATCTGGAACTCATATTCCCCACATTTTGGGGGTTTACAACAAGAATCAGGGATGTACAAGTCGGACAGCTACCGGCACTGTTCCTGGTGTACATCCTCTTATGTGTCATGGAGCAGAAGATCAGATGATTCTACGGACTCTCTGGACTCCCATTTTCTCATCCAGGACAGAATTCATTCCATGCTCTTTTATTAGAGTGACCATGTTTTAACAACCAGAGGACAGGTGATGTCCATTCACATCCCACTGGTTATGAAGGTGCACTGTTTGCTCTTTGCAATGAGAGAATGAATTAACATTACTCATCTGGGGCAAAAAAAGAAATAGAGATAACTATTTATACCCTTACAAATACTGTGGAGATTATTGCAGAGCTACTCTTCAAACAGATTTGACACCCTCATCCCCTTTTTCTTTCTTAACAGTTTAAGAATAGATCAAACCATTACAATTCGGTGTCTGGTTTGAAAACAGAAAAAGCACATGACCTTTAACTACAGCAAAGACAATGTTGATATAAGAAATTCCAATTTCCAAGGATTTAAAAGCCAGAAATCTAATTAGGACCTTTGACAAAAACTGGGTGAAAAAATAAATTCTAGGCTGAAGAAAATACTGGGAAGAAATAAACATTTTCCCCAAATCAGTTCAAACCTCTCGTTAAAAGGAAAAATAAAGACAGAGGATTTGAAGTAAAAAGCATTTCATCACTTTAGGAAAAATTTAGACATAAAGAGTGAAACAATAATGCATCAAGTTTTCCCAAATATGGGAAATACCAGATCATAACAAATTATCATCAGAACTGAATATGTCTTTTTCTAATTAGATCAATGCTATGAACTAATGCCACACCCTGAAAAATGCTCCAAAGAGCATGTTTAGAGCAGGGGCCAATCCTCCCTCACAGCTCAGCCTGTGGAACACCACATCACACACTCAGGCCCACTGAAACAGTCGGATGGGGACAGATCAGCCCTTGCCAATCCACAGAATTCCAGCAGATTGGAGCTGTCTTGCAGGATATGGCTGGACTGAACATACTGTGTAGATTTATAAATGCAAAGTGCATACAGAACAAGGATAAATAGATGATTTTTGGTTGAATTTTTCATACAGTATGGAAAACAAACTGAGGCCAACTCTTCTTCAAGGCCCTTCTTGGGGCCTTAAGCAACCTGCTCTGGTGGGAGGTGTCTCTGCCCAGGGCAGGGGATTGGGACTAGATAGTCTCTAAGGTCCATTCCAACCCCTTAACATACTATAAACTCTTCCAAAGTGAGTCGACTAGCAGATGTGTAAGTGGAAGGTTCTGATATGAAAACCAACCTCAAACCTGAGCTAAAACACTAACACATTATGTTAGTAGGTTTTTATTTTCATGGCCACACAAGACACTCAAAATGCTTGTTGTAAACACAGTCTGAGCCTTTCCAATTCTCTGGGATTTAAGCTTCTTATTCCACTCTTGTTGCCACTCAAAAAGTAGGTGTTTATGGAACAATTTGGCTTTTACAAATCCTTAATACCTAAGAGAAAGCATTGTACTGCAAAAAGGCTCTCTGGTCTCTTGGATAACAGTTCAAGATAAAAGGATATCTTTGAGGTGCCCATAGTAAAGGATTAATGTCACCATCTGCTTAGAAAGCACCTGGATGTGCTGAACTCCAATCCCTGCCCCTTACCCAAGGAGGTGCCCTAGTAAGTACACACAGCTGCTCCATTTGTATATCCCAGGGAACTGGATGCACATGTAAAGAGCAGTTTGTTCATCGTTTGTCACTGCTGAATGCCAATGGCATAGGTATATATTATATATTCTATATAGATATGTATTAGCTTTATAGGCAATCACTCAGAAATTCTCCTCTACAGTATCACCCTCAGAAAGGGATAGCACACTTTTAACTTGGGAAAACTGTATGGAAGTTCCTCAGGAAGCTGAGGAACCAAATCATTACACTTACAAAAAAAGCCTCAACTATGAGCAAATTTTATACTTCACAGCAACTCCTAAACTTTATGAGATGAAGGGCAGATGTTAAACAGAACCAGTGCTGATATTCACTGTGGTATATTCCATTTTTCCTAACTATTTGGCAGTATTGCCTCAATTATTTGGCCATAAACATCAGACTTCTGCTAGCTGAAGCTGGATGAACCAGATGGACAGAAGCAACTATTCCTCTTACTTTACCACCAGATCAACTGGGTTCAAAGGTGCTGAGTTAACAGGCAATCATCAAGGCAACAATCTTCTCCAAACTGCCTAATCCAAGGCAGGATTTGAGGAGCTGTGGGGCAGAACCTCTCAGCAGCACAAGCCATATTCAGCTGGGCTGAAATACCATGAATTTAAAGCCTCTTTTCCTCAAGCATATTCCCAATACAATGAAATGAAAGATTTCCTTTCTCTGTTCAGAGCAAAAAGTTTTGCTTAGACTATTCCTACTGAAAAAAAAACCCAACCCTTGTGCATGGAAAATTTCTCTTTTATTTAAACCAGATTTTCAACAGGAACATGATTATGTTTAGAGTTTCTTACAAATTCTAGTCTACAAAGAACTATAGGATCCTACTTGCATCCAGCAGTCTCAAGGAAAGAGAATCCCTGCCACATTGGTTACAAAGAAGGTTTGGCTGTGCACAGCATCTTGCACAAATCCTTTCTCTTGCTGTCCAGCTCTGAGATTTTGCACATCTCTTCCTTAAGATTGACTGTGGATGTGCTGAAGACCTGTATGACCAGAATCTCAGCAGTCTTAAAAACACAGAGAGTCTGCAGGGATTGAACACATGCTGGTAATTCCCAAAAAGCTGTCTGGAACAAACTATTTGCCCCTCTAACCTGCAAAAGGATCCAGGGCTACTAGACTTGTGGTCACTGAGGTGCTCAAAGTGAGTTGACATGTGGCTCTTCCCACATTATCTGTCCATGCTGAGTGTTATCTGTCACTCTGTTGTACTTCTTGGAGAGAAGGAAATAAGATATTTTCATTTAAAAATGGACAATACTGAATGGTCTTATGGAGGTGGTGGAGTCACCATCCCTGGAAGTGTTTAAGAGGTGTCTGGATCTGGCGCTGGAGGATATGGTTTAGGGATTACATCAGTGACAGGTTAATGGTTGGACTCGATGATCTTAGAGGTCTCCTCCAACCTTTATGATTCTATTCTATGATCTGCATAAAAATGTATCTAAAAGGTAAAGATCACAAAAAACTTCTCCACAACTATCAAGGAGTTGCCACAGCTTTACACTCTGGTTTGTTCTTTGCTGACAGCATCTCCCAGACTCCACAAGGGATAAAGCAAGCATGGACATGACTCCAAAGTCTGCAAGCATTCTGCCCTGCCTGGGAGAATACCTGCCACCAAAATACAGTTGGGGAGTACTCCAGAACAGCAGCTGTCTTCTGGAAGTCATCCCAATTTTGACTAGAGGTTAATAGATAAGCCCTACTAACCAAAAGGTACTGAAAGTTTTCCCTGAAAGGTGACACCATAAGGCATTTCACAATTGTTTTATAGTATGTTCATAGTATTTCTATATGACCTTCCAGTCAAAAGGGTTGTCACAAACTACTTAGCCTGGAAAATGAGTCAGTCACCAGCTC